GGATCAAAAGAAAGAAGAGAAGTATTTGAGAAATGTATTATGTTTTGTTATATAATCTCTTATATTGATGTATTCAAAAACATGCCTATTGATGTTATTTAATAATAAATGATGATGTTAACATGTAAAACTGAGTAAGATAATATATGAAAATGATTAATGAAATGTTGGAATGGCTGCATGTAAAATAATGATTGTTTATAGCATGCTAATTTGAAGGGTATAAACATTCTAACATAAGGCAACATAATCAAGACAAAGCATAAGTGAGGCCAATGAATGATTCTGCCCTTAATATTTTATGAGCAACTAGTACACCTCCTAAGATTCAAGGTGAGTGGTAGATCACCTAAATTGTATGTGTTTACTAAAAGATATAATTTTCAAATTAAGGCAAGAAAAGTTATAAAGTACTGTTTGACCAAATGAATAATACCAATTCACATATTTTTTTTGTATTAAATGAGTAAGAAAATGACCCAACGAGTATTTTTTTCTATAGATAATTGAAAGAATTTTAAATAGAGATTTGAATCATCTCAATACATTTTTTTTATAATTAATTATGAATTTTTAAAATTAGACCAAAAATATGAAATTTATGAAATGAATAGTAACCTATGAATTAAAATGCAGATTTTATTGTACGGACTCAATTCCCGATTACCTGAATTGTAATGCTTCTGGGTACTAAGAGGCATAACATGAAGGATGTTTCCTTAGATCCTAATGGCAGACTTAAGATTGGAGCAGAAGTCAAATACTCCTTCAGCTTCTAAAAACTTTCTTCACACTTCTCTTCCTAAACAAATTTCACATTTTTCTAAGTTAACGTTTAATGGAGTAGCTAATACCTTGCAAGACCCAAAAAGCTATGAATTTTTGTATTGTTATGGGTTGTAGGTAATTCTTAAATGCTTTTACCTTCCTTGGATCCACTTGAGTACTATTTTTGGAAGCCATATAACCTAAGAAGGTAGCCTTATCAAGCCAAAATTCACATTTAAAAAACTTGGCATATAGCTATTGTTGGCCATGCTCTTTTAGACTCTTCAAATATACCAAGATATCATTGATAAAAACAATAACAAATTTATGGGAAAAAATGGTTGAAACACTTGATTCATCAAATCTATGAATATAACTAGAGTATTAGTTAACCCAAAAGACATCACTAAAAATTTGTAATGACCATTTCGGATTCTAAATACTATCTTAGGAATATCATCCTTCGTAATCTTCAATTAATGGTAGCCTGAACACAAGTCAATCTTTAAAAAACACCGCGCTCCTTGCAACTAGTCAAAAATATCATCAATATGGGCCAATAAATACTTGTTCTTTATTGTCACCTTATTAAGCTATCGAGAATCAATACAAAGCCTTAAAGATCCATCATTCTTTTTTATAAATAACACTGGTGTACCCCAAGGAGATATAGTAGGCCAAATAAATTTTTTGTCTAATAGCTCTTGTAATTTTGTTTTTAATTCCCTTAACTTAGAAGGTACTATTCTATAAGGTAGAATTAAGATTGGTTGGGTGCCATGAACTACATCAATAGCAAACTCTACCTTTCTATCTGGAGGTAACCCAAATAGTTCTTTTGGGAAGGCATTAGGAAATTCTTAAACAATTGGAATTTGCTCCAGAGTAGCGATAGGTTTATCAACATCCTTTACTAGAGCTAAAAATCCTCAGCAACCTTTTGTTAATTTTTAGGCTTTCAAGGTAGAAATAAAGTTAGTTGGTCTTTCTACCTTACTCCCTTGCAACACAAAAGGAGTTTCACCTAGAATATCAAAGTTCACCACTTTCAAGTGGCCATCAACAGTAACATGACAAGAAGATAAAAAATCCATGCCTAATATCACATCAATGTCAATCATATCAAGAATCATAAGATCAACAAAGGTCTCTCTGCCTTGAAGAGATACTTCACAAGGCTTATACACTTGTGAAACCAACAAGGATTCCCTTACAGTGGTAGCAACCATAAAAAGATAATCAAGCTTGGTGACTTCTTTACCAACCTCTTAGCAAAGTATACAGAAAAATAAGAATGTGTCAATCCAGGATTAAATAGTACATCAGTCTTTTTATGAGCATATGGTAATAATACTTGTAACAATAGCATTAGAAGCTCGATCATCCTATCGTGTCAAAGTATACACTCTTGCTTGAGTTTTCCCATAAGATGATTGTCCTCGTCTTCCTACAATTCTTCTAGGTATTACTCTACTAATAGAAGTAGACACTACTCCCATAGATGGAGCCGTTAGTGTTGTCAAATAATTTGAATGCCAAATTGACCCATAACTTGACAAGAGTTGAATGAATGGGCAATTTCTTCTTACATGACTAGTCTAGCCACACTCATAGCAAGCATTCAAAGCTTTACAACATATTCTTGAATGATAATTTCCAAAAGTAGCACATGGGGTCCTAGAATAATTTGACTAGTTTAAAGCTGGCTGAGATTGAGATCCAACACCCCCAAATTTAGGCCTTGAAATTAGGGTACTCATAGGAGAGAATCCTTACAGCCTAGACATTGGTTGTAAACCAAGGGGTTGATTTTGAAAATGATTACGTTAAGAAAAGGATTCCTGAAAGTTTCCACTACCTTTAATTTTCTGTTGTTTTAGAAACCCCTCTATGTTTATTGTGTTTTAACTTAATTCTCAAGGCACATTCCACCATATCAGTGCATAAGAAGCAAAATGATTCAACATAGGGGCTGCAGAATCATTGTATATATTTAGGCAATCGTTGAATAAATCTACCATCCAATCTCTCTCTTCAAATCTACCATCCATATCTTTTTTTTTTTTTACCAAAATCTACCATCCATTTCAACATAAGAAGCAAAATGATTCAACATAGGGGCTGCAACATCATGTGCATATATATAGGCAATCCTTGAATAAATCTACCATCCAGTCTCTCTTCAAAGGTATTATCTATGTAGCATAAGTAGAAAGCCCTATAAGGTTTCTATCATACTATGGTATTGTCATCCCCTCAGTGCATTCTAACAGTAAACATTTTCTAACCTTGGCATTTTTAATGCTTTGTGGGAGATGACATTTGAGGAAGACATTCTTAAACTCCTTCTGAGACAATGATAGTAAGCCCACTATATTTAAACCTGGCACAATTTTGCTCCAAGTACTAGCTACTTGTAGTGGAATACAACAAATTCCATATACAAAGCTTTAGTACACCTCAAAGCTGGACATCTCTTTTTAATGCCTTTAAGAAACTCCACGGGATCTTCTCATGCATTGGACCCTGTAAATGCCAGAAGACCCATCATGGTGAACTGTATTAATAACTCGGCTATATCATCTTTCTCTCTATCAACACTATGAGCTTCTTTTTGAGTCTCCTACCTAAAGGAAGCAGAGACTTTCAAAGAACATGGATTAGATGGTTCAATTTCTGATAAGATTTCTTCGAGAGGTCTAACCCGCCGTAGCTCTTCTACAACCCTACCCTTTACATCTAGGGGGCAAATTACTTTGTTGAGTAAAGTCTCTATCTGATACTCTATCTTCTCCAGAACCTTTGTGGCTACTTGACATCTCGATGGCATTTCCATTATACAAGAAAACAAAAAATATTCAACTTCAAAACAAGATAGTATTTCAATGAAACCCATTAACGAAAAAGGTAAGTAACAACACAGAATCACCTAAAAGGTCTTCAATGATGCCTCCATGGTAGTTATGCTCTAATTCATAACAATAATTGAGACCCTACAAAAGAATCATTGCTCTATGTAACTATAGTAAACCAGGTTTTACTACCAAACTGTCATGTCTCAAATTTTAGAGGTAACTGGCACAAAACATGAGAAGTCTCACATTCCTAAGCCTTCTCATGCATAAATAATTATTTAACAAACTTTTTTATTGTAATTATAAACAAAGGTATCTTCCCAAAAATTCACATATCCCCAAAAGTCAACCAAAACCAACCCCCCAAACACGTAACAAGAAGGGTAAAACTTACCTAAACTCACACCATAATCCTACACCGCAACACATCCAAGAAAAAGAAGAAGAAATGACACCAACCAAAGAAGAAAACTCCCAAACTAAGGTACTGTTCTCTAGTGAAAACATTAGAGGAAGGAGGCAGCAAGAGCCACACTAACAACTACAATGTGAACAGCACAGGACAATGGAGGAAGACAAGTTGAAGAACGAAGGGAAGAGTTAGGGTTTAAGTTCTAGAAACTGCTTCTCAGTCTCTCATTTCTTGCTGAAAAAGAAATGCATCAAGAAAAAAATTTGATGCTTTCTTTCTTTGCATGTTTTTTTAGTTATAAGGGTGTTCAAGTAATTCTAATTGTACTAAACAAAAAATTTACTCTAATGACAAAGTTCAAGTTCAAACCATATACCTCGAAGACCTTCAACCACTTTTAGTGCCACTAGACCACATATTCACTTTACAAACAAACTAAAATAGATAATGAAAATATTAACCCATCTATCTAAACACACTTGTTCTATGAAAATATTTTGAAAACAAATTATTAATTATGTTATCAAACTTGTTAATATTATTACGTGACTAGTCACCCACTCAACCATGTTAAAGAGTTGAAAAATTTCTAAGGCACTGGAAAATCTCTCTTAAAAACAAAATACCTCTCAAATTATATGGTGAATGGCATTATTATAGTTGATAATATCATTACAAGAATTATTAATTGTTACTGAAATTGGAAAAAAAAATCTCACCTTCACAATTTCTTGAAAAATAAGTTTTTAATTACATCACTAAACTTATTAATATTGTTACAGAGCTTGTCAACCACGTTACAAAAGTTAAAAAATCTCCATCTATTATGCACTTATCTCATAAACTTGTGACAAAATTTACTTCAATATTACACATAAATGATATAATTATATGTATAGATTACCAATCCTAATTAAACCCCTTAGAAATTCAACAAATGCACCATCCATTGAGTCATGCTAAAATCTAGTTTGAAAAAATGGTCGGACTCGCTTCTCATCGTCTCTTATTGAATTCAATACTACAAAGAAAGCATTTATTTAGTTACAAACATTACCATGGATCTCAAGTTCCATTCCACAACATGTGAAAGAACCATACAACCAGAACTAGCTATGCGTTCATACAAACCGTCAATACTAGGAAGCATGCAACACAAATACTACTACTCATATACGTACGGATATGTTCAGAACATTATTAGCAATACTTGGTAAAGATAATTAATGTTGCCTAGTTGTTGGGCTTCTCCGAATCCTCAAGACTCACTGGGCGGAACCAGGCCTTCTCCTCCATGACCGAGCCACCTCCGGCATCGGCTGCTGAGTGGAAGCTCCGGTCCCCGCCGTTGGTAGCAGAGGGAGGACCAGATTGCTCAGTGGCGGGCCCAAAAACCCCCGTTTGTGGGTGTGGGGCCCAGTACTTATCAGATTGGGCTGTCTCGATCACATCGTCGGGGACCGCACTTGGGCGAACCAGCTCGTCCAGATTCTTCTCATACAACGAGCTGTACGCAGCTCTCCTGCATTAATCCATATAAAACTATGCATTAAAAAAACAGTAAATTCTACAATCTAAAAACATTTACCCTTTTCTTTTATTAAAAATATATAATATAGATTTATCTTCCATAAACTGAAAAAAACTCAAATAATAGTACAGTATATGTTGGGTTGCTGCTGCGAAAAAGAAGATAAAAGAAACTCCATATTGGGTTAACAAATATGCGCCATAAATAACTTTTATGACAATAAATGCATAAAGATTGTATGTTATCAAGAACAGTGGTCACGTAATGCCATGTATCTGAGATGAGGACCAGCAATTCTGGTAAATAAAATATTAAGCAGATCCTGCGGCCAGACAGACCCTAAATTGGGCGGTGGCCATCTTATCCCCTCTAAAGAAAAATAATTACCTGCCCATCATATTTCCACAATTAATATATATAATATTTAATGTGTGCGCATGTTAACTTACATGAATTGTTCTGTAAATTATTATTATTTTTTTTTGGAGCAATTCTGTACACTTGTTATGATTGTATTAAACCACGTGCATCGTTTATATAGTCTTTTATAACCCCGTAACATTCTACGGGTCATCCTAGTTTTATTAGTATAATAAAACTTTTGCCAAGTACATCACTTCCTGCTAAAGCTAAAGTTAAAGTTACACCTACAAAGTAAATACGAGAATATCCAAAGAAAAACAAATGAAATGTTAATAAAAATACACTTGCAGACGAAACTCAGTGGATAGAAAGAGCCGAAGAAGGAGGACCCCGCGGCGTGGGTCCAAAAAATGAAAAAGTGAAGGGGACATGGCACCGACTAGGATCGAAGATATTTTTTCGTAATGAGACGAAATAATATGAACACGTTGTGTAATACGACAGGCGTTAAGCAGATATGATCCCAGATATTTTCTCTTAAGAATACCGATGAATACAACACGTTGGGTAAATTGATGAGTGTTCTTGACCTCTGAGACGAAAGGGAATTGAAAAGACAAAGCACTACACCGGAATAAGCCTACCTGGCTGTTACTTATCCGCATCGATCATGTGCAAGTCAATTTCTGTTGAGCTCTATTTATATAGACACCCCAGTCCCTAGGACGTCGTTTGGGGCAATTATAAATAATGGATTTTTAGCGTTCACTTAATTTCTAATTTAAATATGAATAAAATAGGTTGAATAAAAATAAAAAACAATTAAAATATAAAAATTGTTTCCAAATTAAATGAACCTGATTAAAAATTATAGTATAAAACTAAATAGACAATAAATATAGTTTTCCTTTTGTCTACTATTACTACTACTGTAATGGAGCTAAATTTAAAACTCATCCCAAAAGTCAATTTTCCTTAATCCTAAATTACCAAACAGTAAATTAACGCACAAAGTCAAATTCCAAGGAGTGAAATATTAAGGATATGAAATTGAGATGATGGCATATCTTTTAAAGTGGACAATACAAACCAGGGATAGACTTTGACCGAATTTTGACCGTGGGGTAGATACTAATATCAGATACTAAGTTACCAACAAAAGGCTTCGGCCGAATTAGAAGTTAGATCATGAATGGATAAGGCGTCCATGCGCACACCAGAGATTTGAGAGGTCAGGGTACAAAAGCAACTTGCTGGTCAAAAAAACAAAGGGTACAAAGGCAGCTTATCATAAGCCAAATCTGAACGGTCTGCACGTATACAAAGAACAAAGGTTATCTCAGATGCAAAAAAGTCATGGGCACCTTCATGTTCACTTTCTTGGCTTTTTCCCTACATACCAAATAATATTAGACGTATTTAAAAAAATATTTTAATATACTAAATATATTACAAAATACTTTAAAGCCTATTTGGTATGAAGAAAATGGAAGGAAGGAAAGGAAAAATTTTAATAAGCTTGATTTAAAAAATTAGAAAAATAAGGTTGTAAAATTTTGATAAAGAGAAGATATAAAATAAAAGAGTAATAAAAAGGGAAAATTAGGGAGAAGGACCTAAAAAAATTAGTATTTATTAAAAGGAATCTTAAAAATTGTAATTAATTTGAAAGACCAAAAATTAAAATAAAATTTTACAATTACCAAATTATATCTTATCAAATCCTTACATTATCTTCAACACCCTCCTATCTCAATTTGACAGTTAATTATCAATTGAACTTGATCTCTCTCTCTATATCTCTTTTTGATGCACCTAAAGTTTTTACCAATAGCAATTGTCTTCTTGGAAATCCAGAACAAAAAAGACAAATTAAAAGGAATCAACTAGCAAACTATTGATTGGACGGTATGTATATTCTGAACATTATTTTCCCTCATTTAGTTTATTTGTATCGAATGTTTTCTAATTTTCTCATGGCCTCTATATAAAGACTTTTTGGATGAATATAAAAGTATATATTTATACCTTCATTTAATCCCAACTATACATACATATGAACAAAATCACACTATCTATGCAAAGCTTCTTAGATGAATATATATAGTTCTTTGTGTTAATCAAAATATGAAAATCAAGTAAATAATATCTCTTAGTAACCTAAGCTTCACTAATAATCTTTCCAACCACATCAGAATGAGGGGCAAAATCGCAATTGCGCAAGCTGGAAATTTTTCTAGCCATATTGGAATGAAAGGCTGGTAGATGCAAATATGAATGACTGAAAAATAGGACTCTATTTTTTGTTAATTGCTGTATTTAGTTTTTAATTTTAATGGGGGGCAATTTAGTAATTATAAATTTATATTTCAATTGATAACTGAGAGTCAAATATTAAGATGGGTCTTGAAGATAATGTAGAGATTTAGCCAGGGATAATTTCGTAATTGTAAATTCATATTTTAATTTTGGTCCTTCAAATTAATTACAACTTTTAAGATCCCTCTCCATAAATAATAATTTTTTTAGGTCCTTCTCCTCAATTTTCCCTAATAAAAATCGCTTAAAATCTTTTAACCCTATTTCTTTAATTTTTTTAAATCAACCTTATTAAAATTTTTCTTCTTCTTTTTTTTTTACCTTCATTTTCCTCATACCAAACAAATCCATTAAGGGACGAGTTGCACTTTAACCCTAATGCATATATGCTGTTTCCTCTACATTTTCTTATGTTTTTTTCTCAACATTTTCTGCCTGATTTCTCTCGCTCTTTCTGATTTTTTTTTTTTAAGTATAATTAAATTTAAATTTAAAAAGAATAAAAGAAACACATATATGAGACGCACATGGCCTGTTTCCACGAGAACCACTGTACAATAAAAGAAAAAGGGAAAGAAAGAGCAAAGGGTACAAATAAATTTACGTAAGAATTTATGCATGATTATATCTATAAAATTTGGAACATAGAGTACTATTTTATAGATATAAATAACGTGACTTATTCCTTCAAAATCTACCTATAAAAAATCAATGATAGACAAGGGTAAACTAAAAAAGAAGTTGAGGCCAAATTTCCATGAGGAAAACAGATAAGATCGGCAACACATGGGCAATATCGGCAGGCAAAAAAAAAACAAAAAACAAAAAAAGCAAAGAAGAATTCAATAATAATAATAATAATAATAATAAACAACGACGGGAACTAGAATATTAAATAACTTTCTAATCGGCTATGATCTTGACAGTTTAAAGACGGACCTAATTTTCCTGGAAAACTCTGGAGGCTTCCTCTTTTTTTTTTTTTTAATTTAAATTTCCCACGAATCAGGCACGGGAATAAAATAAGTTTCTATGATATCAGAAAGGCCAAGGTGACATATGGTAACTAAATAGCCTTCCAGATACATATGCAAGTCCAACATAAAAAAATTGCTATGTAATTATCACTGGTAACTCAGATTAGATTCAGTTTTCTACAGGCACGCCATAGCAGTTGACATTTGATTGATCACGAGGAATCAGTTCACTAATTTAAATTAAATTAAACCACAAATATCGATGAAGATTCCCAAAAACTAGCAACGAAAGCAGCAAGAAGGAGACTACCCAGAAAATGATCTGCAACACATAGAGCAAACAATGGAAAACCCTAAGGGAATCTGAAAAAATTTACAACTCTCATCCTGGTTGATCCTGAACTTCATAATGGAAATGATTGGGGCGCCAAAAAATTCATCACTCTACCATTTTAGTGTTGAGTAAAATGAGCAAATCAATGCATATGATTCCAGGAAAACAAAGTAAAAAATCAAAGAGACTTAATCAGATTGTAAATCGTGAGAAAATAAGATTCACAAGGCAAGTATGAACTAGAAATTATGCATTATTCCGCCATGAAACAGACATGCCTCTAAAATGATCAGAAATTAGAAAGATTATCACTCTGTTCGCCTCTACTAAAATAGACAAATAAATGCAAATGTTTCAAGCACAGCCAAGTCAAAAATCAAAAATTACAATCAATCAGCGAGCAATCAAACTGTGCAAACAGAAGATTCAGGAAGGCATGAACACAAGCACTAGAAATTACAATTCCAAATTCAGAAAAATTAAAACCGTAAAACGAAAGTTTGAAAGAAATTTGACGAGTAGAACCTGGAAGTGTTAGCTCGCCAGATCTGATTGACGAGTCGTTTCCCGACGCTGGCGACTCCTCGGCTATTGGAATTGGCGGCCATACAAAATGGAAGCTAAACCAGAGACGCAGAAGACGAAGAAATGCGAAATTGAAGAGAAGAGACTGCGGAGTGCACTGCAGAGAGGGACGGGTAGAAAAAGCGTGGGAAAGAGGTTGGTGGAAGGAATGGCCTTTTTATTTTTGTTCGTACCGAACACGTGCGAACGGTGAGGATCCCAGCTAACGGTCGTTATCTCCCTTAACGTCTACCGTTAATCCAATTGTTCTTTACTTGTTTTAAGGAGTGTTTGGATAAAACCAAACTATGGTTTGAAGAATAGGTTCTGAAGAATAGGTTTTGTGAAAAAGTGATTTTGAGAAGTGAAAGTGTTCGGATAATTGTTATAAGAAACACTTTTTATATATACAAATTACTAAAAAAGGCATAAGTTAATATGATAATTACATAAAAGATAGATTTTATGATATATTTTAATTGGAAGGAATAATATTGTTAATAATATATTTTTTATCAACATAATTAATAATACATAAGATAATATAATTAATTAATAATTAATATGTGTATATATATTTATAAGATATAAGATTAAATATGTTTATAAAAAAAATAATTGAGGGGTGTTAAAGTCATATTATTGTTGACATCTACGCTCAGGCTCTCCCTTGTACTGCATCTGAAACAATGAAAAAGAGATGAATAATTGGGAAGGGTATATCCGTCTGAGCAAAAAAAAAAACACCAACAAGGCACACATCCCATAGGCTCTCACACTCTCCCTTTTTCCCCTAAAAGCAAAAAAAATTTTGCTTCTATCAAAACCATGGTTTTGATTTTTTTTATGGTGTTTGGGCAATTTTTCCCCAAACCATGGTTTGGATCATCACCCAAACACCCCCTTAATATAACTTTTTTGCCTAACTAAGGCAGGCTGTTTGATCTCGAACAGTCTTCTCTCCTTTTTTAAATCCCTAATCTATTCGTTTCACCCAGACTCATTTGAAATTTTTACTGTCATTTTTCTATTGCATGCTCTCTTTGAGCCTTCAAATATTCAAATCTTCGTTCCCTACCTCGGTTTCTCCTTTTCCCCTATAATTTTGTGCTTCTCCACCATCATTTTCTTGTTCTTCCCTTAACTACCATCAAGTTTGCTGTTTGCCATATGCTATTTGCTGCTGCAATCATTCTCGCATTTTAGGATAGTACAGGAGTTGGTTCTTCTATAGTATTTTAAAAATGTTGTGTTTATGGTTAATGCCATTTGCTTTGGTTCACCTCTTCTTCTTATTCTTCTTCTTCTTAACTTAAATGTTGACCGACGGGTTTGTTAATTGTTCTTCATTTCAATGTTGATTCATTTGTGTAGGTCATATGTTATTTACAAGTTTTATATGCTGGGTTATGTTATCCGAATTATGGGTTATATGTTCTGATTATAGCTTGTGGGGTTTGATTTCTGGTTGAATAGAATCATTTTGGTTCTGTTAAAGCATTATTCCTAATGGTTTGAATGATTACATGTTACATGAGATATTATTTAGATTAAATTAAACTTCCATGAATAATTGCCTTGCTGGTTTGGTATTGAAAAGTTTATTTTTTGATGTTAAAATAGTGGAAAGAGAAGGCACAATGCCTGAGAAGTGCTCATTCTAAGCTGTTATGTTGCCGAATTTTTTCCAATTGCAATGGGATATGATTGAATTTAGATGGCATTATTTCTAGATTCAATGAAATTTGTTTTTAGTTTGAAGAATTAAACTTTCATACAAGTTAGTGGGAATTTAGTGGCTTTATTTTTGTTTCATGAATGTTGTTATTAGTTATTATATTGTCCTACTGCTAGTTTGCTATTTAGTAATTTTTTTGAAGTTAATATAGTTCAAATAAAGGGCAGCATAAAGCCTGGGAAATGCTCATTTTTAAGCCGTTACGTTGCCGAATTTTTTTTTCAAATAGAATGGCACATGATTTAATTTATTTCAGTTACTATTTGTTAATGACTAGAATTACTAATTGTTAATAGTTGGAATAGTAGAATTAAAATTAAAGAGGGTAACATGTGATCAGTTATGACTCATTGATCTCCTATCTTTGTTTAATTCGCTCAACATGTTTGACTTGCTGATCACATTTTTCTCTAAATGTTTAAGTTAGATAGGGACCATAGATAAAAAATGAAGGTCTGCCAACTGCTTTGTCAAAGAAATTTGGGACAGCGTGGAATATTTTGTTAAGTTTGTAGTTGGACATGCCAATAATCATAATAGCATTATTTGCCCTTGTGTTAAGTGTTACCTTCTTAAAAGGATTCTATTATTTGTTTGTGAGAGCCACTAAATTATTAATAAAATTGATCAAAATTATACGTGTTGGACAAAATATGGGGAGACAAGATATGCGTAATGGCAATCAGGGGCAAAGTAAAAGCTGTGGATCAACTAATTTTGGCTACATATGAAGCTGACCATCTTGAAGATATGGCCAATGTGATTGAAGGGGAGCTCGAGGATTATCCAAAAATGTTTAAGAGGTCGAAGAAACATCTTTGTATGAAGGCTATACGAAGTTCATAAAATTGTCTGCGGTTCTAAAATTATGTAACTTGAAGGCAAGAAATGGTTGGAGTGATGCAAGCTTCACAAAATTGCTTTTGGTTCTAAAACAAATGCTACTGAAAGAAAATGAGCTTCCAAGCAAAACGTATAATGTAAAACAGGTGTTGTGCTTTGTCAGCTTGAGCTATCAGAAGATACATGCTTACCCTAATGATTGTATTTGGTTTAGGAAGGAATATAAGTCATTAACTGGGTGTCCCAAGTGTAATGCCTCATGCTACCAAAAGAACAGGAAGAGTCCAAAGAAAGTGTTATGGTATTTTCCCATTGTACCAAGATTCAGATGCTTGTATAGCAGTGAAGAAAATGCGAGAAATCTAAGGTGGTATACGGAGGAAAGGATTAAAGATGGCAAGCTTTGACATCTTGCTAATTCTCTAGAATGGAAGAAGTTTGACATTAAATATCTTGAATTCAGGGGACGAAGAGAGGAATCTATACCTTGTATTAACTAATGATGAAATGAACCCATATGGCATACAAAGCAGTACCCACAGTACATGGTCAATGATTTTTTTTATATATGACCTTCCTCCATGGCTATAAATGAAGCGCAAGTATTTTATGATGTCTATGATAATCTTTGGGCCAGAGCAACTAGGGAACGACATAGACATGTACCTAACTCCACTAATTAAAGACCTGAAGCTATTGTAGGAGAGTGGGGTTGATATATATGACACGTATAAGAAAGAAACATTCAAGTTGAGAGTCATGTTGTTTGGCACAATTAGTGACTTTCCTGTGTATGGTAATCTATTAGGACATAGCATTTAAAGGCAACATGGATATCCTATTTGTGAAAAAGGCACAGATTCAATGAAGTTAAAACATGCTATGAAAAATTCCTATATGGGACACCGTAGATGGTTGCATCATGATCATCCTTACTAGTGTTTTAAAAATTATTTCAATAGGAATTCAGAAGAAGGTAAGTCACATACACCATTGATCGGGGAGGATGTTTTTTATAAGGTAAAAGTTATAGAGTGTGAATTTGGAAAATCTTTGCGAGGCACATTGGGACAAGCAGGTGGAAGAAGTCTATTTTCTTTGTGTTGCCGTATTGGAAGACACTAGATGTGAGGCATTTTCTTGATGTTATGCATATTAAGAAAAATATATGTAAAACTCTTTTTGGCACGTTACTCCATATGCCAGGGAAGACGAAGGATGGCATAAAAGTAAGGTTAGATATGATTGAGATGGGGATAAGAGAGGAATTAGCACTAGAGGATAAGGGAGCTCATACATTTCTTCATCCTTCTGCTCACACACTATCCAAAAAGGAGAAAACTAGTTTTTGTGAGTTTCTAGCTACAGTAAAAGTGCCAGAAGGCTACTCTTCTAACATTAGCAACCTTGTTTCAATTAAGGATTTAAAGCTGAAGGGTTTAAAATCTCATTATTGCCATGTGTTGATATAAAACTTTATTCCGATGGCAATACAAGCTATTTACTTGATACGGTGTGAGCTATGATCATAAAGCTACAATCATGTTACCCTCCTGCATTTTGATGAACTTAAAAGGGATAATCCCAATAAACTTGAAAGTTGGTATGCTAAAGCACACAATAAATAATTTATATCATGGTTGAAAGAGCATGTGCATGATAATTATAATGTTGATCCTAGATCAATTTCTTAAAAAATAAGGTTCTTGGCAAATAGACCAAGCAAACATGTAATGGCTTTCACAAGCTACCTTAGTAATAGATTCACTTTCTATACTAAAGACCAGGATGTTCAAAGTAAAATGCAAAATAGTGGTGTAACTCTTGTAGCTAATACCATGCATATATCGAGTGTCAAAGATAAAAATCCTCTCTATGCAAGTATGTTATATTTCAGGGTGGTTGAGCACATTTGGGAGCTGGATTACATTGGTTTTAGGGTTGCGGTATTCGATTGCAAGTGGGTGAATAATAATGCATTAAGGGTTGATAACTTATGATTCATACAGTTAAACCTGAATAAGGAAGGGTATAATGAAGAGCCTTTCATTTTGGCTTCTCAGGCTAGACAAAGTTTTTATGTTCCAGATCCTGCTACAAAAGGATTGTTTGTTGTCTTGTTGACCAATAAAATGAATGAGGAAATAGGATATGAAGATAATACATTTGAAGATAATCCATTTCAAGGGACATCACTTGAAGATATTTCGAATGAAGATGAATCCATGTACGTCAGACATGATCACAATGAAAGAATATGGATTTCAAAGAAAGTGGAAGTAGAAGTGCTATAGAACAAGAGCAGCACTTGTAAGAAGAGGCATGGTGTATACAGAGAGAGCTGTGTCATGAAAGAGGTGATTAAAGCAAGATCAGAGGGAAAAAAGTTTCCTGTGTAGTGGAATAAGAAAGGACAAGCTATAAAATTAAATAAGTTTATTAGCTATATTAGTGCTGTGGTAAGAAGCATTATGTCAATCACTATACAGCACTGGAGGAAGGTTGATTGTGCAGTATGGGATACTATTTGGCATAATGTATTAATAAGATCTTATTATAATACCTC